ACCCAGGGACCGGCTTCCTCCTGGGAACAGGGAGGCTGCCGGGCATCCGTCCCTTGTCTTTCTGTCTACTCTCCACTGTGACACAGTAACAAAGAGCAATAGGAAGCCACGGAAACCTTAAGCTCTCCTAATGGAAAGCAGTAGAGAGAACATTAGAAACTATCATGGGAGGAATGGAGGACTGAGGAGGTGACTCAGAAGGTAGGTGCACTTTCTCTGCAAGCAGAGGACCTGAGTTCAAATTCACAGCTGTCAGCAAGTGTAACTTCAGCTTTGAAAGGTGGAGAGGTGAATCCAAAGAGCTCCCTGGCCAGCCAGGCTAAGAAACTTGAAGCTTCTGGTTCTATGACAGACCCCGTCTCAAAGCAATATAGCAGAATGATGGAGAAGGCACCTGACAACCTGCTCTGGCCTCTCTATGTGCATTGCACACATTAGTACTCATAACCAGACTTCTGTGCATGCAACACACACACACACACACACACACACACACACTTCAAAGTTTCATTTTTTTTCCTTGAGATTTTGGCTGTACAAATGCTAAATGTTCAAAATATAATACAAACTAATTTTTCTTCTCTGTACAACATTGTTCTCACGTGAAGAAACAGTGATGGCCAAGTTCAACTATGTGATCCAGCCCTTGAGAATAAGCATTAGTTTAAGCTAGAGAGTTAGCCCAGAGGTAAGTAGTGCTTCCTGTACAGATGTGAGGGCTTGAGTTCACTCCCCAGCCCCAGGTAAAAACTGGATATGGTAATGCATGTTTAATCTCAACCAAGAGGGAGTCAGAGACTCCCGGGCTCCCTGGCTAGCCAGCCTAGCCTAATTTGCAAAAACCAAGGTAGCTCCTGAGGAATAACAGCCAAGGATGACCTCTGACCTCCACACTAATGTGTACACACACCTTCCCTCCCAAGTAAGCAGATAGTAAAACTGATTTAGAAATTTATTCCGATACCATCTAGGATATGATATATCCATGTCATGCACTTCATAGATGATCTAAGAGAATTGTTATACAAGGCACTAAAGTTTGAAACTTTCTAGCAAAACATTACAATCTTAATAAATACATAACTTATCCTGAAATGCACACACACTTGTCAAGTCCAGCTCACGGCTCCTTATTCTTCTGTCTCGAGCTCTCTAAATAGCACATAAGGAGCAACAAACGTCAAGAGGCAGAAACCCGAAGAGTGAAGAGCGCACAGCATGGAGAAGATGAACTTGCTGCCGCCCGACCCTGGCCTTCCCTACTGCACAATGAGGGTTAGTGATCATGCAGAGTGGCTGGGGACGGCTCGGTGACCAGCACACACTCAGCATGCACAAGGCTTTGCACTGACTCACGGCACCACGGAAAACAATGGGAAAGGGGGATGCATGCCACTGACTGCGAAACAACCCATACTCTGCGGTGCTAGAAAGAGGACTCGGTGGTTCAGTCTCGCTGATCTTGCAGAAGACATGAATTCGGTTCCCAGCACCCACAGGGCAGCTGGCAACCGTGTTCACAGCCATCCAACGTCCTAGCCTCTGTGGGTACGAGGCACCTAAGTAGCACACACACACACACACACACACACACACACACACACACACACACACACACACGCAGGCTAAACGCTCGCATACGTACAATAAAAATACTGAAAAGTCTCCCTAAAAAAAATTCATGCTCTGTAACAACAGTAACACACCACTGCTGGTCACCCAGTCACAGCTCAGTACAAATTCCCTTACCATCTAGTAAATTACTCCCTTGGGTTTCTACATTTAAAATGAAAAGTCGTGGATACTAATAACGCACCAGGCAGGGCATAACAACGAAAGCTTACTGATCTGAATCAACTCGCGAGCGGCCCAGGGAGGGAAAGAGCAGAGCCACATGAAACTTCTCTCGGCTCCATCACTCAGCAGCTAAGGTTCACCAAAAAGCAAGCGGCAAATATCTCCAGATCTGTGCTGTGCTGAGTCACTTCATCAGTATTTCCTAAGAACTGTACAGACACCACTTTTGTCTCTGGATGGGGCATTTGTAGAACTTCAAAAGTTACGAAACAGAGTCTCAGGGGAATGACTTCTAAACAGAGAACAGGCAGTTACAACAGCCTTCCCCAGTCCACGAGCTGGTTTATGTTGTTGTTATCTGCCATGCACAGAAGATGAGGCGCCTCTTTTATAGATCTTGTAGACCACTGACATACCGTATCATGCATTTCAAGCAGAAAAACTCCCCATCTTTGAGATATAATTTCTGAATCTTAATCTTCTTGAAAAAGAAACAACATTGGCAATTTGCAGGTTGGATGTGAAATGTCCCCACAAGCGTATGTGTCTGAACATCTGGGCCCCATCTGGTAGTAATGCCTAGGAGGTTGTGGAACCTTTGCCTCTATGGCCTAGCTAGCAGGAATGGGTCATTAAAGATGACAGTCCTCCTCTGTGTCTAGCCTTAGCTCTCTCCTTCCTGACCCAAAGGTGCAGTCACCACGGAGATGCACCACCCCTCATGCCTTCCTGGCCATGGCGGAGACTCACATTCTCCTCTTCCTTACGTTGCTTCCTTCAGTTACTTTGTCACAGAGACGAGGAAGCAACTAGTATGGGAACATGTAATAGGTGTGTGTCGACTGCAACTATCACTGAGCAATCAAGACAAGAACAATCGAGCGCCGAGGCTGCTTCTTTACTTCATGACACAGACAGCCCGGGTCTGCATAATCAGCACATTGAACAAGTCTGTTTAATACACCAAAACACAAAGCACTAAAGACATCACACCAAGCGAACAGACACAAACGTGGTATATTTTAAAAGCCAGATATATTTTAAAAAGATCGTGCTTACAATAAGTAAATTATGTAGTGAAGAAACATGAAATTGATGAGTAAAAAGGCACATTTGAAAAGTTTCAGAGTACGAAGACTTCCTTGTTTGTTCTACTAACACAGGAGGAAACGGAGTCAGATATATTACAATTACTTTCTCAGGGCAAGGTTTCTGTCAGTAGAAATGATTAACACTGGCTTCTTTTCTCCCTTCTCTGGGGCAGTCTTTCCCTTCCTTGGTTTGGAGAGGCGAGTTAGTCTTCTGCCATGTAGAGGCGATACATCAGGGCTACCGCCAGGGCCGAGACGGCTGGGATCACCCAGTTGGTCCACCAACTAGAAAGACACAAGAGCAAAAAGATGCTTGAGTGATCCTCAATGCAGAGACCTCAACCTCGATAGTCTCCTCACTTCTAGAACCACTTTAGCTAAAAGGACGGCTCAGCTTTGCTAAAATGAACTTGAGGGCAATGCACACCCTGGAATGTTGACCTCCCTGCCCTCCCCTTTTGTCATCATGAGAAAACTCACACCCGTGCTCTGCTTCCATCTAGTTCCGTAAGCTTTATACAGAGAGCTGTTACTGGTCCCTCAACGGCCGCTGCCTGGGAGCCGTGACTTTCCCATGACATTATACTCTGGGATACCTATCACAAGACCACACAGGGGATGCTCCTGGTATGTCTTGTCCTCTTGCAGGCATCGACTGAGCATTTTAAATGGCACTAAGATGAGAATCAGACCATCAGTGTTCTCATTTGGAGGACACGGTCAGCAAGCTCTACAGCTGAGAACAGACCCTGTCCCCTGAACGCCGAGTACTAAGGCTGCCACTCAACCTCAGCTTTAACATTCTCAGATCCTCCTTCAAAAACCCAAACTTAATATCTACGCCAGATGGATTTAAGCTGTTAAGAAAAAACATGCCCAAAGTATTTAGTCTGTGGTCTCTCTCCCAAATTCAAAAGAATATCTAATTTATGCATTGTTCAGCTTTTGTAAGTTTTCAATATATGATAAATTAGAGATTATGGGTAAGATCAGGGACACAGCTGGGAAGAGCTCTAATGTAGTTATGGATTTTTAAATTGGATTTCAAGCTCTAAATTTCAACTTTTTAGAAAACAGAAATCAATGCCTATGCTCAGCACCCAACAATACTATGTATTCATACATACATGCACCTTCCCTCATAACCTCACTCTGCATGTATCAACCCATTCAAAGAACAAGTTCAATTAGAAGATGTAAAGCGTGACAGATTACTAGCACGGTCTCCATCAGAGTGTAGTGCAGTGCACTGGGCTTTTCAGTTGACTCAGAGAGAGGCTGGCCTGATAGGAGAAGGGAGGTGAGGAGCCCGGCCAGCAGGCAGAGAATGTTCTAGGATACTAAGAGAGTGCGTCAATTGAGTTTGATGGGGTGAAATACAAATGTATAGCTTTCAGCTTGAGTCTGAACATGAAAACAACAACAAAATGACCATGATTCTTCTCTAAGTCAATCTGACATGACGGAACTGCCAAAAGCCAGCTTGGACCGGAATATGGAGGGGAGATCTGGCTCCTGTAACAAGAGCGTCAGTCACGCTGCACTCAGATTAGAGGGTTTAACTTGAGTTACAACTAATGAAAACTGAACCATGCTTGTGGAACACAACGACCACAGTCTTCAAAGGTGCCCGTGTGTCAGGGGAGAAGGAAACCAAACTCAGCCTGTAAGAACAACCACGGCGGCACTGATCACCCAAGGGACCGGCTGCCATGGAAACGAGGAATTCCACTTGTTCTCCGTGGTCCCCAGTGCAGATACATTTGGAGGGCGATGGCATCTAGGGTCACTGTGAAAAGTCTAGGATGGAAAGCCCCAAAGCTCTGCGCACACATGGGGCCAGGCCCAGACTGGTGGCTGAGAAGGACAGTGGGAATTCAAGCAGAGAATCAGATATGGGGGTGTCAATCAACTCTGACTCCTGAGCCCTCCAAGAGACCTTGTCTCAAAACAAAACAAACAAACAGAAAGACAACCAGTACATACCTGGAATTAGAGTCGACAGTAGTAATGAGAGGTTCCTGGGACACAAAAGAAAACATGAAGTTAAGGATACATCTGAGCATTTATCCCCCTGATTGAAATCCCGTTTTAATGTTTTTTAAAAAAAAAAAAAAAAATCACCATTTATTCAACTCTTTTAAAAATTGTTAAAAGGGACAATTATATCCAAGTTCTTCTTACCAAAAAGCTTAAATTTACCATTTTTCAAGAAAATGAAAATTTAAGGACAATTTTCCTTAAATTACTTAAGAATATAAACTTTATAATTTGAAAATGTTAATAGAATACATAGAATCTACTTTTAACATTTCAGCACTTCAACATAAAAACTAAAAACAGAATACTCATGGACATATATAAAAGACTGTATTTCTGTCTTTTGGAAAGGAAATTTAATTCTTCAAAGCATGGAATATTAAATAAAATGTCATTTAATTCATTCAAATCTGACAGGGCATAAAAGTGTGCCTACACTACATTAGAAGCGTCTCAACTAAAACAATAAGAATTCGTGTCACAGGCTGGACCACCTTTCCTGAGATTTCTTTACCTCACTGGATGGCACCAGGAAGAGCCCAGACTAACTCGGAAACCACCCTGCCTAACCAACAGATAAAGATCTTTTTACCTTCCTGCACTTTCTGAGCACAGTCCTTTCCATGAGGACCATAAAAAAAACAAAAAACAAAAACAGACATGTTTTCCCAAACCGTTCAAAAACTGCAGCCCCCTGAAGCACACACTTGGGGCTTAGCACTTGTTAGGAAGCACAGGTAAATGTTCCACACCGCAGAACTGTTAGTGCTTCAGCAAAGCAGCTACAGACAGGCCAGCGCCATCGGGAAGTCACGGCTGCACCTCTCCGCAGCACAGGCGAAAACTTCGGGAAAGCAAGCGGCTGTCTGCGGCGGCAAGGCAAAGCGGCGCCCCTGCGAGGTGTGTTAGAGAGACCCCCGCCCCCTCCAGAGGCAAATTCACTCTAGGGGTGCGTGAGCCAAGCAGACACACACCAACCTGGACACAGCACCTTTAGGATTCCTGACACAGTAGGGGAAGAAAAACAAGTCCTTTAGAAAGAAAACTTCACACTTGTTACCTCTTGAAGCAAACTGAAATCCTGGTGGTCAGGGGAATTCATAACCAGTACAAGATTATTTTCCATAAGTATAATTAACACTGACTACGAGAGACAATTAGATACACCAACAATATTATTCATTTATGAGAAGAAACGCAATCACAGAAGACACCAAAGAGCTCGCTGGAGGCACAAGACTATATCGCACGCTGGATAGTTAGTGTGAGGAGGCAGACACTTGCTCGTGATACAGGCAGGGACACATGCATTTCAGGGGACCCTGTGCAACCTCGGGTGGCCTTCCTTGCTTCCCCCCATCTTGGTGGCTGCATTGCTAACACAAAGGCACCGGTGTGAGGTTAAAGTATTCCTGAGGCTCAAACATGCCCACGCCAGTTAAGACGCTGTTATAAGGGCAGGCGAGATGGCTCAGCAGGCAGAGGTACTTGCTTCAGAGCCTGACAACCTGAGCTTTCCTGATCCCTGGAACCCGCACGATGGAAGGAGAACCAATTCTCCTGAAAGTTATCCCCTGACCTCTGACCTCAGTGTGTGCGTGCTGAGGCACACAAGCATATGTGCATACACACAGGAAATAAATATTTTAAAAGTTTAAATATAAGTAAATGAAATGGCCCTAGCATATCACCACCACCACCACCACCACCACCACCACCACCACCACCACCACCACCACCGGTAACGATGACCCTCCAAATGGTAGACTTAAAATATATATATATAGTTTTTGAATTGTCTATATTTTTCATAGCCTTAAAACCCAGAATGCTTGAGAATTTAAGTTGTAATGACCACTTAGCAGTGGGATAAAGAAGCCCGTTTTTTCCAGTGGCCAGTGTTCTGAGGGGCTCAGCTGGGTTCAGGGAACAAACTTTCAAAAAGATCAGCCACCTGGTTTCTGTGCAACTTGGAGACCTTCTAGCTTGTAGTAAAAACGACTAACAACTGGTGTATGGCATGTATAATGACTTACAGAGGTCATGTGAGTCAGTATAAATTATGATGAGCATCTTATAAAAAAATACCAAATCCACAAAGCCTTTGCAAACCAGCTCCCTCAATGAAGTTCGTGTGGCCTAGCTCACTCCTTCACTGGAAGAACTGACAGCGGAGCCTTCCTAAGAAGTTCAGAGACCCCGGCAACTGAAGAGACCACAGCTAGATGTGTGGTTGTTCACCAGCAGCTCACTGGGGCTTCAGGGCCTCAAGGTCTGGGAATCTCAGAAACAAATACAACCTTGTATATCACGGTGCTTTGAAAATAACAGAAGAGCACCAATACTATTAATACCTTCTATGTAAGCGAATTTGGTTGCTGTGGATACATTTAAAGATGTGTAACTTCTGTCTGTAAATTCCTTAACTTGGCAATTTAGCTTCTTTTGGGCAGGTTCAAGCTAATACTCACCAGTACATCATATTTCTCCAAATTAAACTGACATTTTAAGTAAGTAATATTGTTTTTTCTTAACACTGAGGAGTAACGCATACACCTAAGCACACTTGTGAAGGGCTCTACAGCTGAGCTCCAGCTCCAAGCACGATGTTTATTTAAAAACATCAGACCACAGAACACATTCTCCAGCCTAAAGACGATTACATGTGAAATCCTGGGAAACAATTAAAGACACAGTTTTGTTTGGCAGAAATAACAGAGCACCCAGAAAAGTGGCAACACATTTTCTACTGTGTCCCTCGCTTCCAGCCTCTCAAATAACCAGCAAGGGTCACCCCTGCTTTCTTCCAGCTCTGCTCCTGTTTAAGCAAAATCATAATAGGGAACAGAGGGTTTTTTGTTTGTTTGTTTGTTTGTTTGTTTGTTTGTTTGTTTGTTTGCTTTAAAACAATAAAACAGTCCAAAGTCCGTCCATCTGTAAAATCTTGAGAGTAAAAGTATCTCCTTTGAACAGTGAGTAGATGCAGATGCCAGCAAGAGGTTCCATGCCCACTGAACCATGAGTGACGGAATGAAGGCCCAGTGTCTTACTGAGAGCGGCTCTCCCCTGCAAACTCGGGCAGGGGAGCCTTCAGTGATGCTGACAGTGCCAGTCCCAGAATTCATCCTGCTCTGTGCTCTGTCCACCAGCTATCCCAAACATCAAAGTGATTACAAATGCAAATAGAAAACTAGACGCCCACAGCAAACTGTAAACAGAGCAGGAACACATTGCCCTTTGGGGCGGGTCTCCCAGGCTAGCCTCAAATTCATGATGCAGCCAAGGGTGATTTCCGGTCTTCCTGTAATCAATCATTGTCATCACTCTCACAAAGCACCCAGGATTACAGGTGAGCAGAATAATGGCCAGTTGTTGGAGATTGAACACAGGGCCTCCTGCATGCTGGGCAAGCACTCCGAGATACACAGCGGCACCATGAACACGTTACTAAGAACAAATGGACAAGGGTGGCCTCCGGGAGTCTGGGGTATGAGACCTGCTTACCACCACACACCTGCACGGGCACTACGGTTAGAGATGTGGTTAGCCTGCAGCAGACTAAAGCTCAGGAAACAAACCTCCCCACAGCCTGTTTTCCTGCAGGTGAATGGCTTACAACAAAGCCATTAACGTACTAAACATCTCACAGGACAGAAATGGACTTTTCCCTGACAGACTCTTGGGTGGGGGGGGGCAGAGGTGGGATACACGTGGGACAAATCGGTGCTCCAGTGTTTCAGCTGCCTGTAAAACAGCCACAAAAACCATGTACTAGTCAGATTCTGAGCAACTGTCATAGAGAAGCATGCAATTTCTAAACAGCATTTTGTTTTTGTTTTTGAAATCTTCCTGAAGCACTCCTATCACCAGGGTTAAGTGTGTTCTCGTTCTGGACAGGGACAGGGGAAAACAGAAGTTAGATGGCTCTTCCTGCACTGTGTGAGAGTCGGAGTAAGCGTGCCATTTGCACACACACACACACACACACACACACACACACACACACTGTGGAATTACTGATGTCAGGCACAGCAAACAGCATCGTGGTGGCAGAGACAGCACAATGGACTTCCCAGCACGCTCGCCCTGTGTGCCTTCTCCACGAGGACCAGAAGCTCAGAGCACAGTGGAAAAGCTCAGCTTCCTTGCTGTCAATTTTTAAGCAAAACCTTCCCTCAGCCTCCCTTCCTTCCAGGCCAGAATTAACTCAAGCCTGCTTAGACTTCTCAGGACCTTTGGCTGGCTGTTCTCATAAGTTCTTACTCTAGACTTAACGAGCAAATTAAGTGAGAAGGTCACCTCAGACTGAAGAGCTAGGGGATGCCAATGTAAAACTCGCCTTTTCTGAATGCCTACGATGCCACAAAGATGCAAAGAAGGAGGAGGCATGGGTCGTCCCTTCAGAGTTAGGGAGGAAAACATGCTTCCACTTAAACAAGCTCTAGGTCCTCTGAAAATAAGACTTAGGTTCAATCTTTCAGAGAGAAGCACAATTTTTTCCCCACTCACTCTATCTGGTACTGGAGATTGAACCCAGAGCTTCATGCATGGTGAGCAAGCATGTTCCATTAAACTACACACCCAGACTTTTATTTATTGATAATTATGATGTTTTAGAAAGTAATAGATTAGTTGTACAAAGCAACAAACAAGTTCTCCTCAAAACCACAAGGACTGTAAAACAAACAAACAAGAAACCCAAACCAAACTCTTGCAAAGCCAAAAAGTTACATACCTACCTCACCTAGAAAGACCTGCTCTGACGTTTGCCCCATTTGGACACGTGCTCAATACAATAAAGATACACAGTTACCTCTGCCCACTACCCCTCCTCCGAGATGCAATAAAGATACACAGTTACCTCTGCCCACCTCCGAGATACAATAAAGATACACAGTTACCTCTGCCTACCACCACTCCTCCAGACCTCTGCACAAACTTACCGAAGGCTTGGCTATCTTCGATCTGTCATCCTGTGAGGAGAAAAGAGACAGGTGAACAGTAAGAATAACAGGACATCTGTAAAGGTCTCATTTTCAAAAGGCTGACCGTTTTTTGTTTTTTGAGATTTTTTAAAAAATTACTATTCAATGATTAGCATTTGGTGTTCAGCAAAGTTAAATACAAAGCTTGATCCATGTGATTTGACAGCAAAAATCAACAGTAGATTTAGGGACAAGAGGCATTTCCGTCTATGGTCCCCGAGTTTGGAATGGACCCATGACTGTCTGGTTCTTACGTGGAGGCGTTTAGAGGCTTACTAGAGTTGAACTATGGCTTTCAATCCAGAGAACAATGGAAAACAAAATCCTTCCCTTCCTTCTCTGCTCTCAAGTTCACGGAGATATGCATCTTTCTGCTGTGGTGGCCTCAGTGAAGCCTGCAATCTCCCAGCAATATAATTATAAACTATTTAAACCTCAGGCTGAGGATGTCAAAATCTAAGAGCATCTGAATGCTGACTACAGAGAAACCACAGGGAGGTGACCTAAATGAAACCCGCCCTCCCTCCTCAGGGGAGCAGAACTTAGAGGAACAGGACAGGGGGAACGTTCACAAGGACAGACCTTGCAGATGCAACACATCCTGTTACTTCAGGGAAGCGCGCCTATGAAAATGTGTGGAACGATAAAACTTCCAGACAAGTGAGACAGAGTCTCTCAAAGTATATATAATAACCTCCCAGCAAATCCAAAAGACCATAGACAAGCAGACAGACAGACACAGGCACACACAGAGACAGACATAGACACACAAACACAACTCACCAGAATTTGCTCTAAAATGGATTTCTGGGACTTCTCAAAAGAGCCTACTTGTATCTTTTCTTCATTTGTGGTTCTTATAAGAACCATCATTCACATACAGAAGACACATAAAAATAGGGATATGCCTATATTTATTTCTCTTATCTTTAGTTTTTTGTTTGCTTACTTGGGCTGGGGCAGCTGGCTATTTGTCTCTCATCACAAAAAGTGTATTCACGGCCACCCTTCACTCCCCTGGCTGCAGTAGAACAAACTGACTGGACTGATGATCTACACTCTGTATGTGCCTCTCTGTGTGCACTCAGAGACTGGGGAGTGTCCCCGGGACAGGGCCTTGGAACACAGCATTCTAAGCCTGAGCACAGCAATAACTATAATCAAAAAAATGCAAAGCAAAGAAAGGTTGAATCAATTTATTTATGACAAAAATGGTGTCCTGGCTAGGCATGGTGATGGTGCCTATAATCCCAGCACTTGAGAGATGAAGGCCTGAGGCGTGAGTTCCAGGCCAGCATGGGCTACATAGAAAGCTCAGGCCAACTTGGGCTATTTACTGAGACCCTGTCTAAACAAAGTATTCAAAAATCAGAAGAAATTGTTTTTGTTCTATTCTTTCTTATGTTTTCTGTAGTTGCAAATCCTGACTTACCAATGTCAAACAGTAGCCTTCCAGAAAAAGAAGAAAGGTACCCCCCACACCCCAAGAAATGACTTACCGGATGGAGCTCCCCGATGATGTATGTTTTCGACAGTTCTCGTGCGTCGGTAGAGTGCCCAACATCCTCAAAGTTCTCGGTAGCATCGCCCCCAGCTTGCTCTCTTAGGACTTCTTCCCCACCAGGATGCTGTTCAAAGGACGGGTTGCATGAACATTAAAGTCTTTTCAGGAAAATGAGCTAAAAGGAAATGGTTAGTTTATTTAATCAAATGGCCCACCCCAGAAGTCACAGATGACAATGACTGACTCCAAGTGTCTACAACGTGGACTATAAGCATGCTTCTTCACTATCCAGTTCCTTGGTACAGCAGAAACTTCCTCTCATGCTATTTGTCCCCATGCTTCCAACCCAGCAACAGTGACATAGGATAGCCCTGATGATGTGGTGACGCCTGCTGTGCTTTTCCAGGAAGTTCCCCAATTTCCCCCGTCACCTATCCCTAAACTGTCTCTTCAGCCTCCTCAAGACTCAGTCTGAGTGCGGACCAAGGAAAGACCATTCGCTGTCAGAGAAAGGTGAGCACAAAGTTTCCCTTCAGGTCGCACTCTGTACCATGTGCAGCCACACTGCTCACTGGACAAGCAGGAGGGCCCGCCGGGCATGGTATTAAGTAGCTGCCATCAGTATGAACTGAACATCCACAAAGAAGAGAGTCCCCTCCACATGGGGATGGGCAGGAGGAGCCTTTCATTTGACAGAAGCATCTTAGTGCTCTCCGTTGCCTTAATTGGAAAAACAAAGGACAGTCATGCTTCAGAGAGCAGAGTCCAGAGTCCAACCAGTGACAAGAGACCTTAGGTGACAAGGCCTAGAGACTCCCGGGTAAGAGTTCTCAGACACACAGAAGGAAAATACACTTGGTCAAGTCATCCAAAACACTCTGGCAGCAAAGCAGAGCAAAAAAAAAACAAAAACAAAAACAAAACAAACTACTTCTTATATTTTTGGTTATGATATAGCCTTTAATGGCTCAGCCACCTCTCTAGCCCCCAAAACCACCTCTTAAATTAAGCTTGAAGATGTACCTGAATCAAATTCATCCTGTACATAAGCAAGTACCTTAGGGTCCATAAGCCAACTCCCTATGCAGCTGACTGCAATTGGGACTTCTTCCCAATGACAGAAAATAAATGGACACCCACTATTGTTCAAAGGTGGACAGTTATTCTGCTGTTGAAACCTGTTCCTCCTTCTTCTTTACTTGGACACATCTAGCACTAAAGCCTACTGTTTCTTTCTTCTTCTTCATAGAAGTTATCACAAGCTACATTGTATGGAAAAAAGTCAGGAAACACAAGCAATGCAATAAAATCGGCTGATAATCTTGCTGTCAAGGGAGCTAGACAAGGAAAGTTATGATCATTATCTTGCACACTCGCTTTACTAAACACAAAGCAGAGGAAGTTCCAGGGTACAGAGATTGTAGCTTCTAGTGTTTACCACATACTCTGTGTGGTTTAAATGAGAATGGCCCCTATAGGCTCCTAAGTTTGAATGCTTGGTCCCCAGTTAGTGGAACTGCTTGGGAAGGATTAAAAGGTGTGGTCTAATTGGAGGACATATATCACTGGGGATGGGCTTTGAGGCTTTAAAAGCCCACACCAGACCCAGTGTCTCCCTCTCTCTGGCCTGCTGCTGCCTGTAGATCATGATGTAAAGCTTGCAGCTACTGCTCCCATGCCATTCCTGCCTTCCTCCTGCCATAATAACCATGGACTAACCATCTAAAACTGTAAGCAAGCCTCTGACTAAAAATGCTTTCTCTTATGAGTTGCCCTGGCCATGGTGTCTCTTCACAGCAATAGAACACCAACTAAGACACTGTGGGAACTTGAGAAAATACTAGTAGTTGGGAGCTGGAAAGGTGGCTCAGCAGTAAAGAGCATTTGCTACTTGCAGAAAACCAGATTCAGATCCCAGCACTCACGTGGGGTGGCTCACAACCACCTGTATTTCTAGTGCAGGGGAAGGAAACCTGTCCACATGTGGTACACATACATACACTCAGGTACAACACTCACACAAACACATAAAAAAAGGAAGAAAATGCTGGTCACAGATTTGGAGGATATATTTTAAAACACATCAGACACACATATCACTATGTTTAATAAGCACAACAGTGTCTTACTAAACACTTCCCAATATTCGTGTCTGTCCTTAGCATGACTTCTTGCATTGTGTAAACATTGCCCTAACTCACTGGGATGTGTTCTGCTCCATCCATTCTGACAATGAGAAGTAACTGATAAGAATCAAATGTACACGAAAGGCTCTAGATGTATCTCACAGGTGTGGCAGTGGTAATCAAGACTTTCTGGTTCTGGAACAATCTGGAACTGCCAAACACTGATCTGACTTAGGAGCAGAAAGGCAGGCAGTTAGGAGATATGAAGTGACCAAAGTCCCCAGAGCCCAGAGGTGACCAGTCCCTCACTGGTGCTCCTCAGCTACTGACCTAATTCACAAGTTCCTCAACTTGGGATTCCTGCCCAGGACAAGAGCGTCTCAGCAGACCTCCTGGAGTCTCACTGTCCACCAGGGACAGCCTGTCTTCCAGGACAACACCACGAGGTGACGTCATCACCTCGGTCTGCTATGGAGTCATGGGAATCCTGGAGTGTAAGTGCCACGGTGGAGGAAGCACATGGCCCACCTCAATTACACAATAATCTTAACTCAAAGGGCAGTGCAAAGGGAGCAGCCCTCACCATACGCTCCCACGGGAAAGGAAGCAAGGGCCATATTTGTCTGAAGCTCTGTCTCCAGGGTGGACCTTGCCTAAATTCTTTGTCACACAGTGTTCTAAGGGAAGAAAGAAAACACTTCGGGCTATTGGTCTCACGGACCACTGCTGAGTGTGTGTGTGTGTGTATGTGTGTGTGTGTGTGTGTGTGTGTGTGTGTGTGTGTGTGTAAATAACTTAGGAAAAACACAATACCAAATAAATTGATTGCTGTTGAAATGTAATTCTACCCTAAAAACTTTTTTTGGAAGAATCAATAAGAAAATCAAAGCCTGAAAAATTGTTATAAGATAAAATAAACTTCAAGTCCTGATGAGACAGCAAAGATAAGGGACTAACTCTTAGTAATATCCAGTATTTTCCTCGAAATAAATGACACAGAGAAAGAGAAAGTGCTAGCCGTGTAAATTAAGTCTACCTCATTACATCATAATTGTCTGAAACTTGGCAATTCTTTTGCCATTCTTATTCTTGTTAGTAGGATACACCGTAGTTTTCATAAGCACACAAGGTAGTTTAAGACTGTAATTGCGATTAAAAATAAAAAACCTAGGAGTGCACATTGTGTTCATGTCCTATCTTTTGGGCATGTTGTAGAATTTGGGAGTGGCCCACAGAAAAGGCTTTGAAAGAGAGGTGGTGTGGGAGCCTATTTTCAGGTTTCTGGTGGCTTTACCCAGCAGGTCTGCATAGAGAGGATGATTAGGACCACGGGCTGAGTGCAGGTGTCTGAGATGGTCTGCACTTGACTGTGCTGGGGGAGGAGGTCTTTTGCTCCACCCCTTGGCATTTCTATAAATACCCTACGGCAGAGACAGTCAGGGCTCATTAGAATAGGTTCCAGGCCCTCTCGAGGCTATCCTGCATTTTCTATCTGTTTATCTCCACACTCTAAATCCTCCTATCTAATGTTTCCTGCTGCTCTCACTCAAGAAAACTCTGGGGAACTGTGGGGTTGGTGGGTAGCCATCCCACAAGGTGGGAGGGTAGCAAGTGCCTGATGATTTTCCTGAATTAAGGAATGCATAACTGCACAAAGCCAGGGGACAGGTACATCCACATCAGATGTTTGCCTCCACCCACCCATCTCTGACAGCAGCAGGCAGCTGTAGAGCCGGGAAAGGAGGGAAAGGTGGAAAGGGACACAGGCTGAGTAGAACAAGACAGCCAATCGTTTCTGTGAAGGGTTCCCATTTTCCCAAAGGAATATTTCATTTTCTGTGTATGTGGCGCTAGTTAATGCGCACAACAAAGGCATGCCTTGTGTCCTCAAAAACCAGACTCAAGAGTCAGCACAAACAGGCCTGGTTCCTGCCTTCAGGGACCACGGTCTAACAGGCAAATGTGAACCATGCTCAACTGTGAACGCCAAGTGAATGTCACTTCCAAAATCACATGGTGAGTGCCACCAAGATGAAAAAGGAGTGTCACCAGTGGAGAAAAAAACACAGAGACAACTGGAGTTGTGAGGGACAGGGGTTACAGCAGGAAGTCCCTCTAATGCAGGAGTTCAGGGACAGGAAGGAAGCCGGCCTGGGACTCAGGAAGGGCAAGGACAGGACAGGCCAAGAAGGGCTCCCAGGTCTTTTCAAAGATCTTGGTCTGCATTTGGTGAGCAATGGGAAGCGACTGAAAAACATTTAAGAAGGAGTGAAGGTGAGAAGTCAGACTTCACTTTGAGAAGAGTCCTGAGGGCAAGAGGGAGAGTAAGTAACCTAGGCTAGAAAAGCTGACAGCTCCTAGTGCGAAGCAGCCTGGAGATGAAGACGGTGAAGACGGGAGATGAGGGAATGGGAGCTGGTGTGGGAATTGGGATGAGACATGGAAGATGTGAGATAGAATAGGGGCTTCCAGTCAGGGAAGAGTGACTCGAATATTGATGAATGGACGACCGAACACTTGGAAGACCCAGACTACAGCAACGACAGCACTACCTGAGGGAACTGGGAGTGGGAAACCCATAGAGACCAGATCTAAACTGGTTGTTGGAACAACCTTAGCAATGCACAGAGCTTGAGAGATTATAATTCTTTCCATGGATTTTTGTGAATTCCCAACTTCTTTAGCTGCCCCAAAAATCCCTGATCCTGCCAGTACATGAGAACTCTCAGAGATGAGGGAAAAGCAATAAATGGTGTTAAACAGCCTTCACTTTTTGATTTTAAAAAAAAAAAAAAGGAACTCTGTTTTAAAATGCTAAAAGTTGGCACTGTCCATAAATTGAGAAATTTCCTGCCACATCTCCAACTCAGAACTAAGGATACGTTTCAGGATGTCATGGTACAAGTTGCACATTCCTAATCCCCAAACCCCAAATCCAAAAATTTACTGAGTGCTGCTGGCATGATACCCCAAATGGAAAAAATCCTATAATCTGACT